CAGCAGGACTGGTGGTTCTCCTGCCTAGAGGATGTTGACTCACTCTTACATTCAAGCCTTCACCATGTTCTACACACTTGGAGCAGCCCAGTGGCTTGTCTTTTCAACACCTGAGAAGACTTCAGCCATGGTTGCTGATGCTTGGGCCCCCCTTGCTCTACTTTCACTCAGAGCCCTTCTTTTCCACCAAGAGGTTACTTTATTTTTTTCTCCTTGCTGCTGCATTCAGGATCTTCTCTCCACCACTGCACACCTTGCAGAGCAGAGCTTTGAAAAGCAGGAAAATAAGTAACAGGACTGTCATAACTTGATGATCTTGGTCCTGTCATTCCAATTAGTAACAGAGCAGCTGGATCTAGGCCATGGATAGAGACTGGGGTGAGAGAGGACACTTATCCCAGCACTGAGGGACAGGGATGATCACCTTGTGACAGTGATGCTGCCCATGCAAGTGGCAGGTACCAAACCCTTCCTGCACAGGCTCATCTGAATGTCACCTCCTGCAGTCAGAACGTCTTGCCCCAGCTGAGTCTTCAAACCATGTATTTAATGGATGCTGTAAGTAAGATAAACACAGTAAGATCAATCTCCAGCTTTACAGAAGTTACAGCTCTGGCTTCAGGCCCACGTCACTCCCACAAAACCCAACCACAGCAGCAAATCCAGGCTGGAAAAACCACCCACCTCTACCAGCAGCTCCAGCATTCCCACAGAACTGGTGTTCTCCCAGCAGTGCCTTCATCCCCCTGGGAGGCAGCCTGCCCTGGTGCTCCCTTCAGGCCAGGGAGTTTTCCATTAGAAATGGAAGTACATCCCATGCATTCCAAGATGAGGTGGATTCTGCCTTTGCAACTCCCCCCACATTTCCACTGCAAGCTCCTTCCATTCTCTTTTTTTGACCCTACCCACATTCACCCTGCAGCTGGAGACTCTTTTCCCCCAGTTTTAACTTGAAAAAAGGCACCTTCAAGTTGTAGTAGTCACTTTTTTTTTATTATTTTTACTTTTTGGGGAAAATGGGGGAGAAAAGAGTATACATTTTTATTTGTACAATATTTAACAATCACTTTATTGAGGGCGAGGGTGGGGGGGTTGGTTTGTTTTCAGCACTTGCAGAAAAACAGCAAGTACCTTTTGACAGTAGTACAACAACCTGTGCCCAAAAACACTGACAAATACAAAGAGTAAAGTTAAAATAATTGCTTACCAAAATCTCGAGAGGTAACGAATAGTAGATGGACTGAAACAGCATTAAAAAAATAAAAATTAAAGGGAAAAAAAAAGAAAGAAAAAAAAAAAGTACTGCTGGTTGAGTATCTGAGGTAAATGATGTTCCATCAAGGATGCTACTTGAATTGTTTTGCCCATGAATGGATATTGCAGCTTTCTGTGTTTTGTACCAAGTGTTCCTAATGAAGGTGTTAAAAAAAGGTTAAAAAAGCTGGAAAAAGAGGAAACTGGTGACCCTAGTGATTCTGTCAAGTGCTCCTATAAACAGGACAGGTCTCGTGACTGGTTCCATTCAGGTTAAACCACCCACAGGTGGCGTAAACAGGACAGGTCTGTTCCATTCAGGTTAAACCACCCACAGGTGGCATCTGGAACCAGGCTGACTCTTGAAGCCCTCAAGCAGCAGGCTGGCAGTGGTGGACTGACCCCCAGGAAGGGCAGCACTAGTTCCACTGCTCTGAGGCACCAAGTCCCGCAGGACGCGACACGCGCTGCTCGGCCTCCCGCTCAGCAAGCGCCGCGGGGCTCTGGCCAGGCCCAGAAGGGGCTCAGGTATGAGCCGTGCAGCAGATCCACACTGTCCTTCAGCAGCTGGAGCTGGAAGTGAAGAGCAAGGCCCTGGGGGCTCCTTGGGACTCACAGGACAACACGGCCCTGCCCAGCTCCTACTCACGTGGCTACAGGATGGAGAGAGAGCAGGTTGATGCCTGCTGGTACAAGATGCTCTGCTATTTCCACCAGCACCAGTCTTGGTGCTTCCGGCCTCAGGGACACGCAACTTACAGTTAATGCTCCAGGAGTAAAACACCAACACCCCTCACAAGGCCCTGCAAGAACAGCTGTACCAGAGCAGCTCAGGGATCTTACTGCTGCCAATTAAAGAGCATTTATAGTATGAACATCCTTTTCACAGTGACACTCAATTATATGCTGTTAAAAAGCAGGAAACTTGGTGTATTACAACATTGAAACAATCAGGGATCTCCAGAGGCAGTTCTACAACATGAAGATGGGTGATGGGAAGCTCAGCAAGTGCCCTGTGTTGTCTACAACGTGAAGTGAACGAGCAACACCAGGGTCCCCACTGTGTAGCTGAAGTTTGAAGGGTGACACACAGATGACACACCAATTTTTGCATCACAACTTGAATAACAGATCGAAGCCACCTGTATTTTCTCCAGTTTTGCTAGTAAAGGAGTTAAAACTCTTTGGGAGCACAGAGGGGTATGAATGGATTCTTACTTGTTCAGAACTCAGCAGTTGTGTTTCATGTCCTGTGTGTGCAAAGTCATGTCCTTGGATTAAGAACTGAAGCAGAAGAAAAACGCCAGTTGAAGCAGCAGCCACCAACAAGAGTTCTCCCAGTTTAGAGCCAAGCTGAACACCACCAAGTTGTCCCCTACAGTACCAAGGGCCCTTCAGAGCAGGGCTCTTCCTTCCAGCTGCCTGGGACCTGAGGCATGGGGGTGAGGAACAGCAAGACAACTCTCGGTGGTGCCTCAGACCTGTCTTCCTCTCCCTGGCAAGAGCAGCTTGACCTGGATCTTGTTTATCTGTAATGTCTCTTATTGTTCCCAGAGCCACAGTACAACTGTGGCTGTAGAGATCAGGTTTCAAGATAACATTCACAGTGAGCTCCTAATTGCAACATTAAAAGCTCCTTTCAAAGACAGTGGCTGGATGGTATGAAAACCAAAGGGTGATGAGATGCACAGCGGACTGCTCGACTAGCTACTGGCTGTTCTGCACTCCAGAGGTTTAGAAAGTTTGTTTAAAGTTTGTGTAATGGATCAAATCAATGCAGTGAAACAGCACTCCTGAGAAGCACTTTGGCACATACCTACCCAGTCACTCTGCAATCTGAATGTAAGGCATGACTTCCTAAACTGGAAAAGGGTGTTGGAGCTGTGACAGCAACTGCCATGTTGTTCCTCATTTTTGGCAAGTCTGTGCTATGGACATTGGTATTCGTTACCTCTAAATGGTCATTGCATATTTTAAGTTGTAAGCCTAACTCAATCATCCCTGACATTTGTAGCGTTTTTCACCTGCCATCTGTGGCTAGAACCTTGTGTGTGACTGCAGGACAACCCCACGTGTCACAGAGGTGGAGCAGGAGTCGGATGAGATGGCACCAAGCGTTGAGGAGAGCGGAGCTGCAAAGTCTCCAAGCAGAGAGGAAGGAATTCAGGGTAACGGAGCTTCCTGAGGTGATCCTGAACAGTCATACAGAACCCACTGCATACTGCTTAGTGAAACAGAACAGGCTAGGCAGACCTTTGCACAAACATAAATAGGAAAAAAAAAAAAAAAAAAGACTTTAAAAAAAAAGAATTCAGAGCTTTCCAGTGTCATAGCTCACAGAAAATTAAAAAAAAAAGTCATGCTTAAGTTCTCAAATATTCCTCAGACACAGCAAACCTAAATAGTATTCAGTTAAATAAATGTATGAGATACTCTGGGAAATGGAGGTAAGAGAAAAGGTTTCAACTAAAACAGGAAGGAAAACTTTGTTTCAATAAACAGCACTTTTTTTTTTATACACAACAAGCTAGTACAAGAAAAGGCTAAAAACACTGCTTTAGGAATGGCCATTTACTGTTGGCATGAAGCATAGCTTACCCTTTTTAAATAACACAGTGAATTTGAAATACATCATTTACAAAACATGGATCAATTTATTATTCCAATTTTGTTAGTGTTGTCAATCTCATAATTTAGCAGAGGTGGAACTGAGGTATACCTTGTTGAGGGAGGTTAAGTAATACTTGGAAGCCTCTTTGCTATATCCCACTTGATTACTTTTGTTTATGTACACTGAACAGCAGCACACTAAACATTCACAAGCTGTGTCATATTGGCATTACAATAGTCATTTTTATAAACAACAGCAAATGCAATAAAAACAAGTTACCCTTTTTTTTTAAATCTGAAATGAAATGTTTGATTTAAAAAAAATAACAGTAGTTCATTTAAGGAATTAGTCTCTTCTGACAAGTATTAAGAAATCTGACGTCAGTTTTTAAAACGCTTGATTAGACAGTACAGGTCCATATTCTTCATATAAGTTCCTTAACAGCACGGGATCCTCTCTCAGTCACGTGTCCTTCAGGTGTAAGCAGGGAATGCAAAAAGTCTCATGGATCCACGTTCGGGAGGAGGAAGGGGGGAAACCAAGGAAAACCACCTCTTGATGATGCTCCAGTGAGACTTACCGTTCTTTTCACACCAAACCCAGTGATGCCGGCAGCAGTCCCGGCAGCGTTAGCAGCTCCAGTGAAGAGTCCAGGTGGTCAGTGACGTGACCAGTGCAACTATCATAGACTGGATTCTTTGGGAGGAAAGTCAACGTTTGTCACCATTGTGACCACAGTCACGATGTCCTCTGTGGTTATAATGTTAGTTAATTTTTGCATCTGAAGGATCCGCTCCTCCACGCAGCCCGCAGACAGCCTGGCCTCCGCGTCGTGATCCCAGCACTCCTCGATGGTCTCGCACAGCATCGCCATTCCCTGCCGGCAAACACAGCCACGGGCCAGAGCACAGCACACACGGTTAGCAGGCAGGCTTGGCAACCTGGGCTCACCTAGGAATTCTACCCACAACCTGCAGTTTAAGGCACTCTTGCCCAATCTTAGCCCTTCTGTCACCCAGGAAGCTCTGCTGTAAACCTGGTGTGTCATATGGGGCCTCGCGCACAAAACCCTTCCCCGCTGGCTGTTGGGCTCTGCTGGTAAAGTCATTGTGGTGTTTTAAAACATCTCACACGAAAAGGGATTAAGTTCTTCAGTGATCAAATGAAACTTCAATGCAAAATCCAGCAGGACAAAGGGGCATTTCTGTGTGCCAGCAGCTGACTTTCCTCCGAAGGCACAGGGAGCTAAAGCAGCAATATGCTAATTCCAAGGAGCAGATGGTGACACACACTCCTTTTTCCTGCAGACTGACAGTGTCACCTATTGTTTCTAACAACCCAGTTCTTGAAAACACCACAAAAAAGCAGTGCTAGGAACCAGACCAGGAAAGCACTCCATGTCTCTCCCTAACTGCTTCCAGGAATTTCCCATCCATCACAGCTTACCCTATGTTACTATGCTCAGTTTCTAGCCTTCCTCTAGTAAATCAAGGCTATTGTTTCTTAAATATATTTTAAACATCTGCATTGACAAGTAACTCTCAAGAATCTCTTCTTTCACCAAGAAAAAAGATCACTGGCTTTCAAATCACTCAGGACGAGAAAGAATATTTTAAGATTAAGAACATACTAGACTGCAGTCCACTTAATTCCTGATAGAATTCTTAAACTTTTCCTAAAAGTCTTATTGTTTATGAACACAACACAGATTTAACAACATCTGGAATTCAAATGGTGACAGAACTTTGACGAAGTTGGTTGCACAGCTACTTACAGAATGTTTCTGCCAACACTCTCTTAGAACAGGTCTCTTCTTTTTGTGAACTACAACTTCCTGCATGTCTTCAAGGGAGGGGTGTTGGCCAATTTCTTCTTCAAATGGCAACATGTACTCATCTACTGGGCCTGTAGGTCAAAACAGTAAGTTAAATCACCATTTTTCCTTTAAAAGAAAGGGGGAAAAAAGTAACACTGGTGTGTGGGAAATGCAGTTTACTTTCTGCTGCCATTCAAAGCTCATCCTATGCCAGGTCAGCAGCAAGGGGTGATGAAGATGTTAATTAAGCAGCAGTGGGATTCTCAGGAGGGGCAAGTTGGCTCTCCTGGGCCTGGTGGCTGAGCACAGCTCCCAGCCCAGCTCCCTTGCAACTGAAAGCTTCAAAACCCATGTGGAAAAGGAGGCCCTGGGATCATTGAAGGAATCAGAAAGACAAGCTTGGTAGGCTGAACTATATATTACACAGCTGTAGGTGATATAATTTTATGTTACTGCAATCTGTATTTTGTGCTGTCAGATCAGGAGTTTCAAAAGAGGAGGAAGGAGAAGATGAAGAAATGAACAGGTGAGACCAACAAAACGGAGCAGGGACCTGCTGGAGAAAACAGCCACGTGTTTGCAGAAAGAAAAACTTGTAGCTAGAGAGAGCTGTGGTTCAGGAAGGCTGCCTTCCTCCACTGAGGTCTCCTCTGCTTTTTGGAATGACAGCCTCAGGTGCCAGAGAGCCCTCCAACACACTTCAGCA